CATTGAGATGCCAACAGATAGCCTGGCTTTGGTAGATGATACAGCCGCTTCACCAGTTTGCTTCCTTTCTTAAAGCAGAAAAGTAAGAGGTCACAGTCTACTTTTACACAAAGTGGACATCTGTTTGACATTCTGTTGAGTCTATCTCTATTTTCTTCAATAAAACAATCTTACTGTTAACAGCAACACTCAGAGGAACGTCATCTTCCACATTTGATGGCGCTTTTCTCTTTTAAAAAGATGTGGCTATAGTAGGCTACTTTTATAATACAAGACCTTTTTGAAATTAACCATGTGCTTTGGAGGACATTGGAAAAGCCAATTTTATTTTATTTATCTTGAAGATGTTCATTTGTTGTATTTCTAACTGAATGAACAACATTTTTTTACATGTAAAATGTAAGTCCCAAGAGCTCGCCAAGGTCTTAAGACATTTGGATGTTTTATCTTTCTTAAGGAAGTCAATCAGTGTGAGTCATTCTGATAAAAGTTTGTGTTTTCATTATTCGTTACATTTATCTTTTATTGTTGCTTATATTAGTTATATGGTTCTGTGTCTGTTGTTAATTTTTTTCCTGCTTATGTAAAAGGAAATATAACATGATCTAAAAGGGGACATGGAAAAGAAAAAGCAATTTGTAAAGCTAACTATATTCCAAAGTAGTGTCCTCAGTTAATTTAAGGTAAATTTCAATGTTTTAAAACTGTCTCTTGAAGGACACATGTCGGTTTTTCTCTCTTTTTTTTGCACGTTTAACAGCATACAATCCAAAAATTAAACTAATTATGTGTTAATTTATTTAAGTGCCAGCAGGAAGAAAATTTAAATCAACATCCCTGAGATCTTTGCACACACCGGCTCGTGCTTATCTGTGTAAAGAGTCCATGGATGCTTGAATATTTTCTATGTTTGTGAGCTTGGGGTTGGCTGGCTGCAGAGCGATAGAGGTGTTGGTGGTGCTGAGCAGGAGACGGGAGCCGGGGAAGATAGAGGGGAAAGAGAGAGTCCCTCAGGCGTGTCCGGGCTCTGATGGCTCCCCTGACAACCTCCTCTGTAATGGTCTCCCTCTCTCTCTGAGTGCTGTGAAATTGCAGGCCGGCGCTCTACAGCTGAGGACTCAGAGGAGACAAACGGCCTTTTAATTCAGAGCGCAGAGAGGTGACGGAGAGGGAGGCCCTCAGGGAGGGCTACCAATCAGACATCCATCATGCTAACCTCTCCCTTGGGACGGACCCTGCCAAAGAGGGGCCCCGGAGGTGGTCTAACATGTGTGTGAGTGCATATGCGTGCGTATGTGCATGCCTTTGGGGTTGGGGTGGGGGGGGGACACGCCATGGTGACTGCAGGGTAGGGTGGGGGGAAGAACCGATGCAGAGAACTCTAGGGTGGGGGCATTGGATGCGTTTTCTGATTTCTTCTTACATTCAAAGCTTTTTTTGTTTTTTGATCCAAAGATGTCCTTCACACTTATAATTACACGAGTGAATTTTCACTTGTTTACTTTTCATCAGCGTTTACCTTTATAACTATCACCTTAATATAAAAACACTGTAGTAGTTCCTTTCGATTCAGCAGAAATGTTGTTGAGATTTCCACTTTCTTTGGTGCACATTACTGGGAAAAAAACAACTGGGAGAAAAAGCCACAGATGCTGCAATGCAAACCTTTTTATGAAGAACTCTTGATAAAAGAAAAGAAATTCTTCTCAAGCCACTCTAGGCATTGGGCCTTGGGTAATATGCACATATAAACAAGCGTACCACGCTATCAGACTCCCTCTCCTTTGTAAACAAACTCATAAACAAATAAATGAAAGTAGGTTGTGTGCTGTTGATTCTCTCTTGGAGCCTCTATTGCGAGATTTGCTCGGCTCGGAGGGTTTCGGATCTAAATTTCCTGAATGAATAGGAGCCACCCTGCAGCATTCCATCCTGGTTGAAGCCTTCAGGAACACGGTTGTTATGCAGGCAAAACAGGCAAGAGCTCATCATTAAGCTTTGAATGAGATGACACTTAAAGTAAATGTAAATATAATGTAGCTTTACTTGCTAAGATTAAGAACATTTATTTTGGTTTAAGATAATTTATTCAATTTCTAAGAAAAAAATTTCCACTTTGCATTGTTTCAATGTCACTCAGGCATATCTTTACAAAAGACACATTTTACCATTAACGTGGTGGCATTATTGTCCCTTGTGTGCTAAAAATGGAAGTTACAGTAAGTTTTACTGGAAATATGGTGCTTTGACAGCATGTCTTGAATGCAGTATATACAGAGTATCTACAAAAAAAGAACTGGTGTTTACAGAATGGGAAAAGTGTAGACTCGGCATGTGAGGTTTGCAGTGAAAAGAAAGCCTGTTGCTGTCCTTGGTGCTCCTTGCCTTCAGCACCGCGGACAGCTCCCTCATTCTTCTCCACAGGTGAGGCTGCGCAGTCGGTGTGCACAGGAGAGGACAACAAAAGCAGAAGCAACCTGAGTCTTTTATTCCTTTAAAACCATGCAATGTATCTGCATTCAGACATGCTTCGTGTTTTTTTTTTTCACATTTTCTTCCTTATTCCCACCCACCACTTTTTGTCACCCTCCTTTACTATTGAGACAGATGCAGATTCTGAAGTTTCAGTAAACGGGGAAGGCTTTAAATTGTTGCTAGAAGCTGTAAATAAACTGTTAAATCATTAATCACAGTGTAATTTTGTTCTTAAATTCCACCTAAACTGATTTTATAAGTATCCTCTAAAAAAATGCTCAGTTACAAACAGACAAATTGTGGAGTTGCTAACCCAGGCTTGGGTTGATTTGACAAAGTGTGGTTGGATTATGGGTGTCAATCAATGTTTCAGTTTAAATTATTTAATAGTATCTAATTTAAAACAAAAATGCAAACAAACGAGGATTTGAAACAACCAAAAAACTGTTAATTAACAGGTCATATTTGGGTTACCTGCTGCCATAAGTTTGAATTTTTTTTTCTTGACAAGCAGATTCAAAATGTGGTAGAGATTTATATAACACTTAAAAAGATTTATATTTTTAGAAGGTTTCATACAAATGTAGCCAAATAATGCCTAATTATACATAAAGTTTATGTAGAGTCCTTTGTGGTCCACCATTACAGTAAGTCATAAACAGTAAAAATCACAGTTGGGTGTCCTTCGTGTTCTGACCACTAGATGTCGGCAAAAAACTTCCCACATATTCCTGGTTTGTGTAGATTATGCATCACCAGGCAATAAAAAAATTAAGCTGTATGAGGGGTAAATATTAGGCTTTTTTATTTTCAGTGTGAGCCGTTTTTGTTTTTTTCAAAACAAAAAAAGAAAATGCAGATCTGTTATACTGATTCAGTTGCTCTAAAAACTAGTTGTCTTTAAAAACAAAGATTCTGTAAAGACGCAATAATGTTTTCTTGTCTCTTATAATCTAATGAATAGTTGTTCACCAATTGTTTCATTCCACCTCGTAGATTTTATTTTCCAACTGCCTGATTCTAGCTATTCATTTATCATTCCTTATAAATGTATTTAGGCTATAACGCCTAATTTCTAAGGCTTAATTTAGCTAATTTCTGTGGATAGTTTTAACACCAATTCAGTAGTACTTGTCAATAATAAAGCGCTCACAGTTAAGAAACCAGGCGTTTGCTTAAAATCATTATCTTCTAAACTGCAGGTTTCACTTGGATAGGTGAAAAAATAATTCGAATAGTTAAATAGTAATATTTTAGTTGAAAAAAAGTTAGTTTACAAGTTGCCTTAGTTTCAGACATCAGTTACCTAAACACATTTTAATAGATTTACTTGTAGTTACAATCATACAATCATGTTTCTGCATTAAATTTCATGGAAAATTCCAAGCCTTTTCAAGTAAGCGTTATAACAGAGCTATTATTTGTAAATTTCATAAAAATTATCAAGCTATCCATATTTATATTCTCTTTGAAATGTCTGGGGGAGGGGCAGGGTCCTAAAAGGCATATTGGTTTGCTTATGCCTCGGGCAATCTCTGTTCAAACCCACAAATAAAGTTTTTGGTTGTCAATTAAAAATATAGAATGTTCTCAATTTGTTTTTGTTTGTTTTTTTGGGCGCCAATTATGTCCCAATGACATTTTTATAAATGTGTTTAGCCTACTGAAACCAGTCTAATAAAATATATATAGGCAGGTATTTTGCATATTCTCAATTTAGTATTAGACGACTGAAAAAATTTGTCAAATACTTTAAAAAAAATGTTTTGTTTTCTTGTTCCACTCTCAGTATGTTGTTTGTTTGTTTTTTTCACTAACCCCTATGTGTCGACCTCTTGCAAAACTTTCCCAATCTCCCCTCATTTGTATTTAAACTAACATCGCCGTTGTTAAACTCTCATTATTGTCTTGAATGACCCAAATTGCGTAAAATGAGTTAAAATTCACACCTGCAGTCATTCAAATGAAGCCCCCATTAAGTCAGAGGGGACCAGCCTCTCCTGCGTCCACTAACACGAATTAGCGCTTTTGCTGTTTGCCTAACTGCAACTAACAAAACGAGCCTGTGGGTAAATATTGAAATTCCCTTCGGCTGGGGGCCACCCTGTTAAAGCACCAGGTGACCGGGCCCTCCCTATTGATAAGCTCAAGTTAATCCATCGCATTTCCCTGTAAATAGCTGCGTGCATGAGAAAGGGCCCCCCCTTGGCCCCCCTCCTCCTCTAGTCACAAGGCCGCTGAGGTATCAGCGTCCATTGTGTGATTATTTTCTAAAACAATTTATGTTCAGGTCTAAAGTGCATGGATTCAGTGGAGGCAGCGTCACCAGGAACACCCCGAGTCCACGGCTCAGGTATTTCTGCTCTAAGGGGTCCTGCTCGGAGGCTACACAGCTATGAGCGTGTAACTATGACAACTGCTCTCTGATTGGTTCGTCTGATGCGGGAATTAACAGGGGCCCCGTCCAATCTGAGCTCTGGATGCAGCTCAGCGCTGGCAAAGGAAAAAAAAAAAAGCCTGACGATAACCCAGGCACAGTGATGTGAAAGTGGCAACGTGAGGTGAGCCCGGAGGAGATGATTGGACTTAAAACAAGACAGAACCTATGAGGGAATTATTTTAGATAAATATTTAAAACACCAAAAAAAATCTAAAAGATGAGGTTTTAGTTTTATTTATGTTTGAAAAGGGGAAAAAAGAGAAAAAATATGGTTGGTTTCTTCATCACCCAGATCTGAATACTCTCCTCTGATTTTGGATTGTGGATTGTGACAGCATCAGGACTCAGGACCCTAACAGATTTTCCAGGGATTCACGGGAGAATTTTGCATTTCTTTTTTTTATTTTTATTTTATTTAATTTTTTTTCCGGGTAGTACTCCTCAACCCAGAGCCAAGACGTTGTTCCGCGTAGAGCCGGCTTGCCTCAGTCCGAGCAGCGCGGTCTGTGCAGCGGAGAGGTCGGCACTCGGCGCCTCACGGACCGGCATCATGATGGTCCTCTGCGCCGGCTGCGAGCGGCCCATCCTGGACCGGTTCCTCCTCAACGTGCTGGACAGAGCCTGGCACGCCAAATGCGTCCAATGTTGCGAATGCAACTGCAACCTCACCGAGAAGTGCTTCTCCCGGGACGGAAAGCTCTATTGCAAAATGGACTTTTTCAGGTAACATCGGGAGACTGGCACCTTTTGGCGAGATGCGCCTTTATTTAAGGCCAAAAACACTGAAAGCTTTACGCCCAAGATATATAGTAAAAATATTCTGACACAAACTGAAACTTTACGCTTTATTTCAGGACATAGATTGGAGGAAAAACTAACAATTTTAATTATAATCTAAAATAATAAATATAAATTTATTGTCCAAATAAATAAACACAAAAACAACAAAGTTGTCAATTTAAGTCAAATATAAGATTTTATCAAATTGTCACAAATCTATAAATGCTTTCCGGCCTTTTATTTCACTTTGGATGAGTCTTTGTTATTGTTTTTATTTTATTTTTTTAAATAGAATCAATTTAAAAAGAGAAAAAAACAGATCTATATAATCGGATTAATAATATATGGAATCACAGAGTGTAATTTCGTTAACGCAGTGCAGTCAAGCTCATTGTAGATTACCAATTGATATAATTGTTTTTATAATAAAACAGGTTCAAAATGTTTCTATTTAAGAGGAAACTGTTTTGTATTATTTTGAAAGTCCATCCCCATCTCCCTGGTGCCACTTCCCAAACATCCATTAGGCCATTAACTGTTTCTCAATCCCCCAAAAAGTGTTGCAGGTAATTGGGTGATATAATAAAAGTGAAGCCCTTCTCTTTGCATCATTTTCATTTCCATTCTGACCGTCCTACTCCCCCAAATTGTCTAATGACATGTAAGGCGCGCCAGCCCCCCCTGTTTCTGTCGGGGCCGGGGCTGTTATTGGCCCCTCGCACGGCCTTGGCCATCATATAACTGCGGGTCCCCATCAAGCGCTGGATTTAAATGGCCCAGCCATTAGCCGGGCGAAACAGTAATCACCCTAATGTGTCCATTTGTTGTGTAAGTAGTGTTGTGCCCTTTTTTTTCTTCCTTTTGCGTGTTTTGGAGTGAAGGGGGGGAAGGCTTGGCCATGCATGTGAAAGGCGCATCCCATTGCAAATGGGGAAACAAGCTTAGATTAGTGTAAAACAAAAAAACAATGCTCCACAATAAAAGGAGCATGCTCTCACCCGAAAGGCTTAAACACACCCTTATAGGTCCACTGGAAATCAAGGTGCAGGAGAGCTGTAGCAGGTGATACACGCAACCCTTAAAAAAATCAAATTATTTATATTAGAGCGAAATAAAAGCAAGAAATTCTCTTCCTTTTTCACCCAAATTAATTCACCTTGCTATATTTAGAGGATGACATTCCACAGAATTTATCTAAGCTATATTTGTGCATCAAATTGATGAGTCTTCCCACTATTTAGGCGACTAAATATGGATTAAAGGAAGATTTCCACGCTAAGATGCTCCCCACTCTGCTTAATCCCATAATATATCCGCGGCTACAATGTGCTGATTGTCACTAATACTTTTTGCGTGGGGTTATTGTCAGAACGCTTCCATCAAAATTAGCCTTTTTATTATTATTACTTTGATTCACGAGTTTTCCTGATAATAGTTAACACGGCAAGTTTGACATCTAAATTTATATTTTAATGTTTATTTGATCGATTTAAAAAGATGTGCTCTGATAAATATTTTTTAATTCATAAAATGAAGATTTTTTTTTAATTCTTCTTAAATTGTTCTATAATAAGCTTTTATTATGGAATGTATTTAAAATGATGAAACTGAAACAAAAGCTGCAAAAGTGATGCACCTCACTCCCAATACTGTAACTCCCCATAACCTGCTAAAATGGTTAATCTTTGTCTTTATGTGGCTGGGGGGAAAAAAAATTAAAAACACATTTTCCTTTCTTTTTCTTTTTTTTTTTAAGTCCATTTAATTATAAAAAAAAAAATAAAAATCACATAAAAGTCAAACTTATGCAGGTCCATTTGGTAAAACATGACTTTAAAACATTTTTTTTTTCACCCTTTTAACCAAAAACCCACCTTTAAATCGAAACAAATTTGATCTTAATGTTTATTACACAACAATTAAATAGCCAGTTTGGGTAGCTCATTTGTTACACTCTAAAATCATCTTAAAAATTGGAAGAAACGTCTTTACGCGTATTTTAACTGCATATCCTTTTACACATTCGCTTTATTATGTGTATAACAACAAACAACTGAAAGAAAACCTTGGTTAGTCCATAAACCAGCCTCATTCTGACCTGTACTAGAGCTATAATGCATTTTTCTACGCCCTCTTAAGAAAATGTTGATTCTAAATTAAAATATTAAATAAAAATCCTAATATGATATAAAATTGGATTCATTTGTTTGATGCAAAATATGAAATATTTTAAAAGGACAATAATAACGATGGTATGATTTGGATCTGTGTCCAGGCGCTTCGGAACAAAATGCGCCGGCTGCCTGCAGGGAATCTCTCCGAGCGACCTGGTGCGCAAAGCCCGCAGCAAGGTGTTCCATCTGAACTGTTTCACCTGCATGGTGTGTAACAAGCAGCTGTCCACGGGAGAGGAGCTCTACGTGATAGACGAAAACAAGTTCGTGTGCAAAGAAGATTATCTGAGCTCCGGGGCCATTAAGGAAGTCAACCTGAACTCAGGTGAGCAACGTGCATTCATTTCTCTCTCTCTCTGTCAACAAAGTGTTAACAAAATCATTGCAGACATGCGCATTTTAGAAAATTTCGGCCTTCTTTTGGGAAAATCAAACGAATAAAAATTGGCTTTAATACATTTTAGAGTGTGTTGTTTTTTTTTAATTCGTGGAGAGCGTTTCTAAACAACCTTGTAGACTGAATAGTTTCAATATTTACCTCTAAAGAACAATAGCTTTCTGGTTTTGCGCTCAGGGTCCGCAGGGGATGAGGATGCTGGCGCGTGCTAAAGAAGCAGACACACACGTTGCACACGCTGCTCTATCAATTGGCTTCATTGCTTTTGGTTTATTTCCATAGATTATTCTCAGAGTTAATTCTTACTTTTTATTTAATGAAAAATAAGTTTGTTTTTATATTAAATAATTTAAAAAAACAGCAGAAAATGGACACATTTGATCCAAAAGTCTAAATTAATTTAGAAGAAATTGGGCTTATTAAACTAAAATACACCCCCTCCCTTCTCCTTTCTCTATCTCCCTCCTTGACATTTCGGATCGTGACCTTCCTCCCCGTTTGTTTGCATCCTCCTCACCCCCCCACCCACCCATCCCCCGGGTCCCTGCAGTCTCGTCGTGCACAGATAGGAGTTTATCACCGGATCTCCAGGACCCGATACAGGACGACATAAAGGAGACGGACAATTCCACGTCCTCAGATAAGGAAACGAACAATATTGAGAACGAGGAGCAGAACTCGGGGGCCAAACGGCGGGGGCCCCGGACCACCATCAAGGCCAAGCAGCTGGAGACGTTAAAGGCGGCGTTCGTGGCGACGCCGAAGCCGACGCGGCACATCCGGGAGCAGCTGGCGCAGGAGACGGGGCTGAACATGCGAGTCATCCAGGTAAACTCACACCTTTGATCAAATATATTTATTATTATTATACTATTTTTTTAGAGATCACTTTTTTTGAATAATATTAAAAAAAACATCCTTATCTTGTTTAAAATAATGCAATCAAAACTAAGATTGTTGTAAAACCCCATTTATTCTACCCTTTTCCAACATTTTAACATTGTTAAAGATACAGCATCATCTTTATCCTGTTAAAAAATAGGAGATTTAGGTTTAAAAAGCTCATGAATGAACTCTAACGTTTCTACATTTACATGTCCTTAAAGTCATTTCCAATATTTAATTTTAAAAAATTTAGATAGTTAGTGATTATGCAATTTTACACAAAAAGGGTGAGAATGACTGTATTACAGGGGCGTCTCCAGAAAATTTACATAGGGGTGGTTAGATGGGGGCCAACGGTTTACAAGCTGAATTTTCAAACCTCTACCTGGTAGTTTTTACTTAGAATGCCATAAATAAAAAATAAAATTATATAATAAAGACATTAGGGAATCACCTCTAGAGGTCTACTTTAGTTTATGACATCACAAAAAAACAACAAAAAAAAACTAACAAGCTTGCTAACTGCTGCATGTCATTAAAACCCATTCTCCTTTAAATTTATAGTCATAAAATAAAGATGCATATTGAACTGTTGGACCATGAGGGGACTGAGCTCCTCCCCCTTGGTGGCACCAGTGTCTTTCATGGAATTTAGTAAAAAAAAAAAAAAAACCCACTGAGACAAAGACAGATTAGAGACAAATGATGGATTATAAATCAGTAAAATTACCTTTTAATTTTCCCCGAAGTGGGCAGGACATTTAATTGAAAGGCTCATTATCGGTAAGAGAAATGTCAAAACATGATGTGGACCATTAGCAGGGTTACAGATCCAAATTTTAGCGTCTACGCACCATGTGAAATGTTTCTTTAAGGTCTATACATTATGAACCTATTTGGGTGATAATGATAAAATGATAATAATGGTTGCAGCAAAGGCCTGTTTTTATTCTTAATCCTATCCTATTAAGAAACATATATTTAAACTTTGCTTAAATACTTTTTAAAATATAATTTATTTTTTATTGTATTATAAATATTTTCAATTTGTTATATTTAATATAAAGTGTTGTTTTTTTTTATTTTATCATTATATTAAATACTCTACATTTTTTCTTTTTTCTAATCTTTAAAAAAACCCTCAAGATTTTATTTAAATAATAAAATATATTATGTATATGATGATACTTTTTTTTAAAAATCCTATTTTTTGGTTGTTGTTGTTACATTGGGAAGGATAGAGAACATGTTTACACTGGAGGCAGCAGTTTATTTGGAAATAATACATGTTTCACAGCCATGAAATGAGAAAAAAAGGTTAGCCTCGCCGCTTGCCAATACTAAGAGGAACCCCAGACACAAACATGTTGTGCCACGTAACGCGCGCGCGCACGCACGCGCAGCTTTCTGCTGTCTTTTATCCTCCATGACTCCACACACACACGCGCGCGCACGAGCTGGGTGTCTGGGTGCAGACTGTGTCAGGATGATTAGCACCATCTCTGCCAACTGTGATGTGGCTTTTTGTGCACTCACTGTAATTATCGCTGATTTCACAGATTTACATCCCACCCTCCCCTTTTTCCCACCTCTCAGCTCTTACTCACTTGCAGCCTGTTTCCTCCGCTTCCCTCGATCATAAACTACAGGCCGTTTTGTTTGTGTGCGAGCTCGATCATTTAGTCAATCAACAAACCAGTCAATAAGTCAGTCAGTGGGACCATCGTCCCACCTCCACCTCGGGCCCCTTGTGCGCGCGCGCGTAATGCTTGGAGCCAAAATGGAGGCTGCGTTTCCTCGTTCGGTGTGCGTTAAATACCCCAGCTCTCAACGCGGGGAGCCCCTGTGAGCCACGCTGCTTCTCCAGCATGTGGATGTAATCCCTAAGCAAGGCTCTCTCAAGGGAAGCGAGAGCATTTCCATAAAAATGTACCCTACAGTTAGACGATTGTTCTCAATAAGCAGGTGTTGCCTTTGCCGCTGGAGCACAGAGAGCACAGCCTAAGTGGTTTTTGGCTGTTTCTGCGTGTGTGTGTTTTTTGTTAATCTGCAGCACAGTGGGATCCTGCCTCTGGTGTAGCCTACCATGGTGTGAACATACATCATTATGCAGCAGTGATGCAAAGGCGAAACGCGACGTGTTATGTACTTGTAATGCAAAGACATTCCTCCATATGGTGCGTGCAGCTTTGCAAATTTCAAATCCTCCTTTGTTAGTTTTTTTTTTCCAAAAGAAAGTTTATTTAATCATATTCTGAGCTGCAGATCAGGCCGTTTATTTTAAGTTAGTGCAGGTTTGCTGGAGGGGGGGCGTGCATGGGAGGTTCTAGACAGGTGCCAACGGGGGCCAGGGCCCCTGTACATCATGTCCTGGCCACTACTGAAGACATAATACTCAAAGTAATTCTAGTGATGATATGCGCTGGAACAGACATGGTTACTGATAGATCCTTTGGATCTATTTAATTTTTTCTTTGCAAATTCTGTTTTAATAACTATTTTAAAACAATAAGGTGATAGCTTCAGATGTATTGAGATAGGATCCCAGTTTTCATCTGATAAAAGTTTATTTTTTTCAAAACAAATAAAAAAATACTATTTTTACAGCTGAATTTAACAGGTTTTCTTAAATTCTAATTCAGATTTTATAGAAAACTGTCATTTCAACTTAAATTAAGTCAAAAAAATATGTGAAATTCCTAAATTCTGAATGCATATTGACCTAATAAGACATTTAGAATTTTAATGAAAACTAATTGAATAGAAATTCCACTTCATGCATCTCTCTTAATTTATTTGAATCCCTTGCCATGTTTTTTTATTTAATGCTTCTCTGTGCCCCCATGAAAACACGCCGTCCCCCTCCTGGCCCCCTGCTACATTTGGTCTAGAATCGCCACTGATGGAGTGTGCACCATTATGCTTATTTGGGGATTCATCTTAAAAAGTGTAACAAAAAAAAGGACCTTTTATAATCTAAATCTCTTTGTCTGATTTGAATCCCTTGTGCTTTCCAACATCATGGCGTTTCAACTAAAAATAACACCTACACTGGAAAAATCGATCTTGAAATAAGTAAAATTTTCTTAAATTAAGTGTATTTACCCTTCATTTGAGTAAGTAAATGAGATAGTTTGCCCATGGAATGAGTTTTGCTGCTCTTAAAATAAGATAATTAGATAACATGCACTTGAAATAAGACAATGTAATTGTGTTTTCTTATTTTAAGTGTAAATTATCTTATTCCATTGGCAAAACATTTCTTTTACCTCCTCAATCCAAGAACAAATGCACTTATTTTAAGAAAGAATGACTTATCTAGATTTTGATTTTTTTTCCAGTGTATGGTGAAGAATTACACACTTGATCTTACAATGTAAATATTTGATCAGAATTTAAGGTTGGGGTTATTGCTGTTTTTAGTCTTGATCTCAGTGCTTTAAAAGTTTATATTTGTTGAAATTTTCCATTGACTAAAGAACTTAAAAGCATCACAAAGGTTGGTTAAAATACTTGAGCAAATTGGGGCAAAGGTGTCTTAAAATGGGTTCAAAACAGGTGAGAAGAGAGACCTTCTTGATTTCTTTTTAAAAAGAACTTCTGTACAATTACTGAATAGGAGGCTTTTTAAAGAAGGGAAATAAATGACTGAGAGACAAGGCTGATGGGAGTGAAAGCTCTCAGTGCAAACCGTAAAAAAAAACCCCTGAAATAACTGACTTTTTTTTTTTCATGAGAAAGATATTAACAAGTAGATCTTTGAGGAACAGAATCCTAACAACAAGATGGAAAATTCCCACTGATCAGCTCTGCCATCGGTTTGGTTTTAGGTTTGGTTCCAGAACAGAAGATCCAAAGAGCGGCGAATGAAGCAGCTGAGCGCTCTGGGGGCCCGACGCCACGCCTTCTTCAGGGGCCCCAGGAGGATGAGACCTCTAGGAGGCAGACTGGAGGATCCAGACATTTTAGGACCGGGGCCTTATGGTTACTATGGAGGTAGGAACGCACTCTCTGCGCGGAAAAAAACAAACAAACATTTATTTATTTTTACATGTGGGAATGTTTGAATCCTTTCTCAAAATCATATGAAGATTTGCACATTTAACAACAAATGTGACTTTTAGATGAAGGACTTGGTATTATGTTGCTCTAGTGTTATCAATGGTTAGATGTGCAAAAGAAGTCAGGCTGTCAGATTAACTTGTGTTAGCTACTAATCTGATCAGAAATAAAGCAGAAACCAAGACCCCAGGCATGCTTTACTCAATTTTGTTGCGAATTTTGATAAAAGAAGAATAATTTTATCCACAAGTCTATTATCAAATAATGGTTAATACACTGAAATTATAAGATTAGTTAACAAATTTAAACCCTTGTATGTTGACTAACTGCCAAAACCTTTAATTTGAAAAAACAAAATTATAAAAAAAAATAGCATAAGCTAGATTGATAAGTGTTGCATTCAGGTTTAGTTCAACTCCTTCCAAAAAAAAGAAAATTTAAAACAATCCACTGGACTTTGTTTCCAAGTTTGAAGACATTTCTCTTCCCATCCAGGAAGCTTTTTTAATTCAAAATGTCAGGAATAGCGTCAAGTTCGAGGTTTTATACAGTAGCCCATCATATAATCGTATAAAACCTTGAACTCAACACTATTCCAGACATTTTGAATTGAAAAAGCTTCCTGGATGGGAACCAAAATGTCTTCAATGTCTTGAAACTTGTAGTACAGTGGATTGTTTTTTAAATTTTCTTTTTTTAGAATGACTATGACCTGAATGACTGAGAATCTTCACCAGCATAGTTCAACTCGTTATTAATGTTAAAATGCTTCCATCTAATCTGTTGATAGCAAGGTGGAAAGCTCATCAGAACCTTTAGACCTGATTGGTCGAAGTGACAGCCAACACCCGCCTACCAAAGTTTGGTTTTAACCAATCACTGTAATGAATGAAAATAGCAGTAGACACCATGAGGAACCACAACTTAAACCTTTACATTCTTGGTGTTCTTCTTTCGAAGATGAAATCTTGGATTCTGAGCACACAAATATGCCAGCAGCAGCTACACATCCGTCCTCCTGCACTGCTATGGTTATTTTAGTTTTGGGCGGCGCATTTCTTGCTTTTGTCACAGCTATTGTAGAGTTGGACTAAATATTTTTGGCTGAAAGGGTTTTTTTCTTTGATCCTATTGATCGATACGTACGACGGAATATTAGGGCCAGGCTAGAGATTTTTTTCCTTCTATTTCGAGAATAAAGTCGTAACATTACGAGAATTTAGCCGTAGAATTAAGAGAATAAAGTCGTAGATTTATGAAAATAAAGTTAATCAATTACGACTTTATTCTCGTAATTGCACGACTTTCTGAAACTGGTTGTTGTATGATGACTTCAATCTCGTAAAATTACAACTTTATTCTCATAGTTTTACGACTTCATTCTCGTTAAATTACAACTTTATTAACGTAATTGTACGACTTTATTCTCCTAATATTACAAATTTGTTCTCAAAATAAAATAAATAAATATCTAGCCTGGCCCTAATACTATGTCATTGATACAGTATGTGGCTGCGTTTGTCGTTTCATTAGGGCATTCAGCAGCCTTTTCACTCCCTCCATTTGCTATCCATTGTTAGTGTTGTCTTTATTTTGTAAATAAAGGTTAATTTTATGCTTACTTTGTTAACATTTGTTATCATTGTATAATTCTTATCGTATAAACAGAGGAATAAAACAGCAATATCAGCTAAAAACATGGTACCCCCAAAAATCGACGGCAAATATATTGGTTTTTCTGATGGCAAAATACTCGGTATTGGCCTTAAGAAAACAAAAAAAACTACATGTCCCGCCTTAAACTATAATACAGCAACATGATTGGTGGATCAGTTTTGGGAAGCAATCTAAGGATTTAAACTGGAGAACAAGATGGATTGTGAATTCCCAAATAATCCCAAGATAATATAAGGTTAGGCAAGGTTATATTTTAGTTACATTTTAGATAAATTCTAAAGAAAAATGTTGACTTTAGACCATTATTACTAAGAGAGAGCGTTTCCTCCGCAAAGCTGAAATTTTCCTCCTCTAAATATAAAAATGTCCATATAATATAGGGGATTCCTATGGACATGGTTTTAATCTAAGTAATAAGACATATGAGATTATTTGTATTTAGGAAACTAGTCTATGAACACCAAACAAATAAAATAATAAGTATGAATGATAAATAATGTTTATATTATGTTATATGTTACTATTATGTACTTATATTATGTACATATTATAGTATACTTAAAACACAACAGTTCCAGTTAAAATTATTTTGCATTATTAGATTAGGTTATATGAAAATAAAAGGCATAAATTCATGATGTTTTAGCTAATTGCAGATAAAAAAATAATCCTTTCCTTTTTTAAGTTACATCCAAAAAAAAGTGAATATTTCCATACATTTTTTTTAGCCGATCTTTGTGGTTGGAGCAGCTCGAATCGTCTCTTTTCTCCTCATTTATGCCAGGCTTGCTTTTAGAACTTAACCAAAGACCCCCAAAAATGACACAGCATTGATTAGAAACAAAAGATAACAAAAACATAACTTTTGATTTTAGAAGAAACACCAGAACAGAGGCTCAAAAACGGAGAACAACAAAGGGGGGATTTGAGCAGAGTGTAGTGATGCAACACGCCGCACAGCTTCTGCAATCGCTGCTTGTTACAGATAAAACATGTGGATTAAATATTTGCTCAACATATCAGCAGTGCTCACATCTAGACTCCACTATCTCAAAGAAGTCATGCTCTTTGTGGTGTTCTTGGCGGCTCAGACGAATGACAACCAGGTCGTATGAATGCAAAGGAGAAACTTCTTCCAAATAAGAGTTACTGCATAGTTAAATCCCTCTTTACCTGTTAAAGACCTGGAAAGAGTGATCATGCTTCATTACATCACAGCCAATGCTCTGTATTATGCTCTAGTCATCCTACTTTACAGGATGCTGCAGCTCATTTTTACCTGGCACCGAGAAGCGTAAACATACCACTTCACTCCTGGCTTCTCCTCACTAGAAACAAGTCCTTTTCCAAATTGATTTGAACATTGCATCACTTACTTTTAAAGCTTTTATTGGTTTTGCTCCATGTCATATCTCTGGCATCCACACAGCAGTAAGAGAACTCGGGACTAGTTTTTCTTTGGTGGTACAGGATCTGGATCAGAACATAGAGGCGATCTGGGTTCCACAGTTTCTGCCCTAAACTTATGAAAGACTCAACTGATTCAGACCAAACGGATCATTTCACTTTAAAAGTAACAGCAAAGGTAGCAATTAGCATTCAGTTTGGTTGAGTAAATTTATGTCTAAATTCAACTTCTGTTAAACGGGAAGAGAAATTGGGTCAAGTCTACTTGGCAATTTAATACTATAGCCTTCAAAACTCATGACCTCCATGCTGCAAGCAGCAGTGTTACAAACTGCACCACCATCCTAGTTGTTCTCCTTAATAACTTTCCTTTGGCTTCTGTTGGAGCGGTTACTTCCTGGCAAATGTATACCATGCAATTTTATTTAGATATATTTATGTTACATTTGCTACTGCTAAAACAATGAAAATATTTCCCCATTATAGATAAATCTACTTATTTTGCTACTAAATATGTAAAGGGGATTTATTTATTTTTTTTGATGATTTGGGTGAGTTTTCTTAGTGAACCGCAAAAAGTGAAATATAAGTTAGTCCATTCTTCGTCACTGGAAAAAATCGAAATCTAGATAAGTTATTTTTTCTTAAACTAAGTGCATTTGTTTTTTAGATTAAAGAGGTGAAAGAGAAATTTTGCCAATGGAACAAGACAATTTACACTTAAAATAAGAAAACCCCATTTGTTTTTTTTTTTTTCAGTTGCTTTTTTTTTATTTTTTTTTTTTTACCGTTAAAATTCTTCTTTTTTTGGCATTTTCCTTCTTTTCCTTCTTCAATTAAGAGTAAATACACTTGATTTAAGAAATTTTTATTTATTTCTAGATCGTTTTTCCAGTGTAGTAACTTTATTTTCATTGATTTGAGTAGGAGAATACAAGAAACAAGAAAAACTACTTTATATTCTTATTCAAAGTGCATAAAATCTAATTATCTTTTCTTAAGGGCATAAATGCTCATTCCATTGGTACACCATCGTATTCACTCACTCAAAATAAGTCAAAATCTGCTTATTTTTAGAATTTATAACTTATTTTTAGACCAGTTTTTGCAGTGTTGGCATACATTAACATTTGAATGTTTAATTTTATTCCATTGTGTTTTATTGACTCGTCTTAGCTTGACTGTGCAGCATTTTGGTTAGCCTTGTCTTTTTTTCTTTTTTTTTATCTGCTATGTCAATAAACTTAAATGGACATTATGCAACGTACCTGCAGATGCTCAGATGGTGCATCTATCCTTTTCTAAATACAATGAACTATGCTTGCTTATCATTTACAGCAGCCATGGGTCAATTACTGGAATCAATGTTATGAGAAGTTTTAGTGTTAAAACTGCTTAGGTTTACTAATTGATCTTTCTTATAATGGTTTTGAGTCCTTTGGAAGAGATGCCAGTGATGGAGTGACAGGATGTTTTTTCCAGGCTTTTTGAATCATATTATGCAGCACTGCCCCTTCCCCACTAGTTGCTGTGCTCTGCTGTCTAGCTGGCTATGATATGAGTGTGTCATAAAGCATTGCTATTTTATGAAGCTATTGCAGATTTTTGTCTTTACTGTGTAAAGACATCGAGAAGATGTGTTGTAACAATCATACAATGAGATAAAGATGGACGAGAATTTTTTTTTATCATTATTGCATTGGATAATCGCTGTTCACTCACTTTTTAAAGAGTACTGCAAATTTCCAGCATGTTTCAATAGGAAGTGAAGCTGGCTAATTTGAAGCTAGTGCAACTGGACACATTTAATGGGAATTATCAAAATTAATAATAATTTATTAACAAATTGC